CCTGCAGCGCGCGTCGTTCCCATGAGGCCAGGGGCGTAACAAGGGCGAGGACGTGCCGAGAACGGGACATTGCGAGCACGAGAACATTCCGAAGACGAGGACATATCGTTAACGGGGGCATACCGATAACGAAGGCATGCCGTGAAAGAGAACATGCCGAAAACGAGAACACGCCGAGCTGGAGGGCATACTGAGAACGAGAGTATGCCGAGACGAAAGAAACGCCTCCATGGGACGAGAATATACCGAGGACGAGACACACCGAGAACGAAAGCATGCCGAAAACGAGGGACAACTAAGGACGGGTCTGAACCAGCGCAGGGTTCAGAGTGCACGCATCGGACAGCAGGCGCTGCTGTACAGCACCAGGCTCGTGCCAGGCATACTAGATCATTGTGGCATGGTGCTGCAGATCACGCTGCTGGTGCTGCGATGGGATGCTGCAGATCACGCTGCCGGTGCTGCGGTGGGGTGCTGCAGATCACGCTGCCGGTGCTGTGGTGGGGTGCTGCAGATCACGCTGCTGATGCTGTGGTGGGATGCTGCAGATCACGCTGCTGGTGCTGTGGTGGGATGCTGCAGATCACGCTGCTGGTGCTGCGGTGGGATGCTGCAGATCACGCTGCTGGTGCTGTGGTGGGGTGCTGCAAATCACGCTGCCGGTGCTGCGGTGGGGTGCTGCAGATCACGCTGCTGGTGCTGCAGATCACGCTGCTGATTGCTGTGGTGGGGATGCTGTGCAGATCACGCTGCGGTGCTGGGTGTGGGATGCTGCAGATCACGCTGCTGGTGCTGTGGCCAGTGTTGCTGGCATATCACGACTGCTGTGTGCTGTGGTGGGATGCTGCAGATCACGCCCGTTGGGTGCTGCCGGTGGGGTGGTCAGGTCACGGCTGCTCACGCCAGCCCGGAGTAGAGGATTTCCCCAGCAGCCAGGTCCTGTCCGCTTCGAGTGTACGTGGCTAGGGGTGGATGTTCGAGTGGCGGCTCTTAACCCTACAGCTGGTATTCCCTAATTGAACCTGTTTTTCAGCTGTTTGCATGTAAGTTTCAGGTCCACACAGGTGTGCCGAACTAAACACTTGCGTCGACATGACTAAAATAAAACCCAGCTGTCCCCGGTAACAATCGGGGAGCGACGGTGGCTGTGTCTTTCATTAGTGCCGCGCCAGATGGCGGAGGAGCCACCGGCTCGGCTGGCCGTCTGCGCTGCTGGACAGCGCGCTGTCTGTCTAGCCCCGCCACTGGTATCATTACAGTTGGGACGCCCCCTATGAGGCTGCTTATCGAAACCGAGCCCCGGCTGCGGCCACCCGAGAGCACGGCTTCACGTCGTTCTCGCCGTACTTTTGGTTTGTGCAGTAACTACTGGCACCTCGCGAGAAACGCGCCAAGCGAGCTGAATAGAGTTCAACGGGACTGGAAGACCAGGATCGGACCTGCTCAGATAGTCGGCTTCTTGAAGCAGAAGATTCTGACTTTAAAAAGCCATGTTCGTAACCAAAAGATTCCAAATATAAAAATATTGCTACTATGTCCGGCGTTTTTTTACTGTGACATTATGAGCAAAAATTCGTTGCAATGAAATATCACCACGTGGTATTCAATTCTCAGCGGTCCGTGCTACGGCCAAAGTCTCCCGGAATTTCGGCAGCGTAGAAAGAACTCACGGTAAAAAGAACGATTCTCTTAAATTACAGCATACATTTTAAGCTGACAATGTCGATATGTTACTCAAAATCGAGTCTGGGATTAGGCCTCATTACTTTAGCTATCGAGCTAGACTCCGATCGATCGGCGAGACGGCCGTGAGGATGCTGACGACCTGTGGAAAAGTACGTGCGTGTGGATTCAAACCATGGATTACCAACATGGCCCCGATGCTGACGCGCCGTAAAACACCACCAAACCATGAATTTGGGACGGACAAATCCACTTTGCAAACCATTCGGCCAAGACCACCAATTTCCACAGGCGCTTAAAGTATTACATTAGTTAGACATCGCGGTTATTTTGCATCACGCTTAGATTTTACGGGTGATTAAGCACTCTCCATATCACCATGTTCACTGAACGGATCAACTTGCCCGGTAGTTAGTTGGTTCGAACATCTGTATTGGGTTTCACCCACACGTTGTGAGGCGGTTTCAAAGCGCTTCAAGTATTCACCATTTGTGCTTGACTGGGATGGCCTGCAGCGGATGGCGGCGGCCATGTTAAAGGTCAGGTGACGTTCGAGGCCAGGGCGGACGGAGCTAAGCGTTGTGGCACGTTAAATTTTGGCCACAAAATTGTGCCTCTGATCATGAACTGCACGCTCAGATAATTGCTTCAGGGTTCACGCTAATGAGCTCACGCTTATTGCGTGAGCAATAGGCGTGAGCCATGAACCGAGCTCCTTGGAAGTGGCACGGTGGAAAACAGAAGTAACTGAGAACAAAGCAATTGACTGCGTTATGGAGAAGTTGTTGTTATCATGATTTATGATGGTCACTCTTCCAAGCTTTTCTAATTTTACAAGTTAGTGTAATGCTGCTCAACTGTCTCAATCCTTAACGCATTCACCAATTCTCTGGTCACTGCACTATCTTTTAATGTGTTTGAAAATTTTGCATAGTGCCATCCGAAAAGTGGCCAGGGTCTTGGAACATCTGTTTTGTTCTGTGCATATTCTGATACATTTAAGTTGATTCGGTCGCATTTGAAAAGTTTTCGAATATATTTTCCACCCTACCTCCAGGGCTGAAAGCAATGTTGGAATCCTGAATTAGTCAACAACCATCAGCTGATCACAAAACGGGGTAGCAGACAGGCCGCTGGTGCAGGGTTGGTTAGCTGCGGACCTGAAAACCGGCTAGCCGCCACCAACCTTGAGTCAGATTTCAACACTAACGCCAGGTTCAAAGCCAGCAGCCGAAAAAACGCGGATTATTGTGCACGATGAATTATTCGCTCACGCGGTGCCTCGCGCGAGGAGCAGATCAAAAATTTACATTTCATCACCTCAACGCTGCACAAAGATCTTTCTGAAGGCCGGCGATTGTGTAACGGGCAGCCGCAGCAGCGCGCGCCCGCCGCATAGACTGTCCCGCACGACACGGCCTGCGGGCGTGGCTCGTGTGGGGCGGGCCGGCTGGCGCGGACTGGGGACCGGTCAGGGGGGCCGCAGACAGGGCAGGTTTGGCCGTCTGGGCGAGTGGGCGTGAACGTGCCGGCCGGGCTGGACAATCGGGACATTCGTGGGCGGTGTGCTTTACTGAGGAATTACCACAGGAGAGCGTCAAGAGAGGATATTCGTGCACTTGTGCTGGGGAGCTGGATGTGCAGACCGATTGTCACCTGGCAAGATGTGTAAGGTGGCTCGTTTACGTTAGCAACGTGGGCTGATTCAGCACAAGGATTACAATTTGAAGTCCTCCATGACCTTGGTAAGGAGCTGATCGGGTTCAGGTTGTCTTGGATCAGTGCGCGCGGGACAGTTCGCCATTACGATTGCGTTGAAAATATCCGAACTTCAGCATGCCAGGAGCTACCTAATGGTATACAACGCTTTCAAGCAATCACTGGTGAACATGCCAACTAAATGCATTAACGAGGTACTGATGGGCAAGATTACCCAAGCACAAGCTAGTTGCATATGTTTATATATATATATATATAGAAGCTTTGATATCTTAAAAATTTTCGACACTAGTCAAGTGTTAAACTTCACCGACCGTTCAATGACTTGCTCCGCGGTCTCTTCACCTTCCTCGGCAGTTAGATCCCAAACGCTTGCTTAAGTCTCAGTGCCTTGTTTACTGCGAATTAATTACAGGCAATATCACAGATCGATTTTGCTGTACTGATATCATTGGCGCAAAATGTTTCTTTACTGGCTCGTCATATTTGTCCTGACATTTTGAACCTCTGTATATATTGATTAGCCTGGTGCAACCCACAAATCATTATTGAATAATCTGAAATCGCATGACCGAATGGCTTCAGGCTATTTGAATAATGTACGCGGCAAATGGGTCATGAAGAAATTTTTCCACTTGGTATATTTTTCTTAGATTTAACTTGGATCTTTCTATTTCTTTGATGCCTTTCTTGAGATTTTGCTCGCCCCTTCAGAATGGGATTGTTTTCTGAGATCCAAGCTGACGCTAAGCAATGCGTCGAGCCCTAACCTCACCACCAGATCGTCACGTTGCAGCGGGGTGCTGGTGGTGCAGTAGTTGACGCGGACACGTTAGCCACTGCACGTATGGGAAACCAGAGGCGCGGGGTTCGATTCCCCGCGGTGCCCGCCCTTCCTGCCAGGGTGAGAGGCAGGCGACGCCATATGGCCCTCAGCACTGAGTGCGTCGTAACGCCGCAGTGACACACGTGTGACGTTCCAGGTTAACGGAAGAATTTTGTGGCGAAGATGTGACTCGCCGTAATGCTCGACACAGTCCGTCCTGCCCACTGACGCTATCTGACCTTCAGCGGGACCGCTGTCACCGGCTGTAGGCTATTCCAGTGAGGGACAAATGGCAAGCGCTTAAAGAGTCTCGAACCCATCCCACCACGAGTGGGTGGATTCGAAGGCAGGCGCTCTGACCAACTGAGCTAGCAGGACGGAAAAGCCAGCTGTAGGCATTCAATACGCTTGCTATCGTCGTTTTCCTGACATTGCGTGCGTTGGTCCAAATCGAAATTCGGACCTTCAAATCCTGTCCCGTTTCACCGTTTGCTTGTGCGTGCATAATGTGTCTGGCTCGCTGATTTCAAATGACGGAATGAACTGGAAATTCCACCATTGACCCGCACGTCAGACGCACAGCTGATATGCGACCGTTTGTCCCGTTTGTCTTCCAAAGCATGAACCCACCATTCGCTACTGGTGTCTAATCCTTCTGACAACGTCGGCACCACACAGGGGACCACCCGGCCCAAAACGCTCCACGCCGACTGCGCATCCCCGTCAACCCTCAACAGCGCTCGTTTGCTGAGCTTCCACCGTCTGCCGCCAGGTGTCCTCCGGAGCGGCGTGCTCGGCGGGCCTGAACCCCGAGGCGCACGTGTTCCAGCTGGAGCCGACGCTGGCCGAGCCAGCCGATGGGCCCGTGCACATAGCCGTGCAGGACTGGGAGACTGACGGAGCTGCCGCCGACGGCACCGGCTACGTCTTCAGTCCGTCTGACGGCGCCTCCGTGTCGCCCCAGTCGTCCGCCGAAGGTGAGGTGGGATCCGGACGTCGGAAGAGGGTGAGTGGAAGACCAAAGCGCTTGGAGAGGCGATTGTAGGACCCGTGCGTCATCAGAGGGTGAGAGGTGAATTTGGACATTGGGAAAGGATGAGGCTGTGGACCCATGCGTGGGCGAAGCTGACAACTGAACCCATGCGTGGGCGAAGCTGACAACTGGGCCCATGCGTCGGGGGAGGCTGACAACTGGACCCATGCGTCGGGGGAGGCTGATAGCTGAAACCCTGCCTCAGGGGGGGGGGGGCTGAGAGCTGAACCCCATCGTCTGGGGAGGTTGAGAGCTGGACCCATGTGTTGAGAGAGGCTGAGAGCTGGACCCATGCGTCGGGGAGGCTGAGAGCTGGACCCATGCGTCGGGGGGACTGAGAACTGGACCCATCGTTGAGAGAGGCTGAGAGCTGGACCAATGCGTCGGGGAGGCTGAGAGCTGGACCCATGCGTCGGGGAGGCTGAGAGCTGGACCAATGCGTCGGGGAGGCTGAGAGCTGGACCCATGCGTCGGGGAGGCTGAGAGCTGGATCCATGCGTCGGGGAGGCTGAGAGCCGAGCTCATGCCCATGAAAAGCTTAGAGGTGGACCCACGCATTGGGGGAGGATAAGAGACCCATGGGTTGGGGGGGGGGTTGAGGGCCCTACGCACCGGGGAAGGCTGAGAGGCTCACGAGTCGGGGGAGGTTGAGAGACCTACGCGTCGGGGGAAGCTGAGATACCCACGCGTCGGGGAGGCTGAGATACCCACGCGTCGGGGAGGCTGAGATACCCACGCTTCGGGAGGCTGAGATACCCACGCTTCGGGAGGCTGAGATACCCACGCTTCGGGAGGCTGAGATACCCACGCGTCGGGAGAAGGTGAGGGGTGCACGCAGATATCGGGAGAGAGGAGTAGACGCAGATGTTAGCAGAAGTGCGAGATGGAGCCAGACGTCTGAAGGGAATGAGAGGTGAACCTGGGTATCGGGAAAGGTAGGAGGTGGCCCCATCCGGGGGGTGAGAGGGAGGGAGGGGGTGAAATGTTGACTTTGTCTTCTGTCGAACTGGAAGCTAAAAGGTAACAGAAATGTCCTTTCGGATACCAGGCGAGTCCGGGCTTGTACGTAAAACGAAGTGTGTTATCTTAGTTTTCCAAAGCGGATGAGTCGCACACAGCTAATCCTGGAGAAAAGGAACCAATTTTCGTCTCCGATCTCCAAGGTGTTCGCGAATATCTCGAATCCCTGACTTGTCGGTGGTAAACCTGTGTAGTTTTGAGGATTAAGGAAACGTGACATGCTATCGTGCCTAACAAAGCATCTCTCATTTTCGGAGGGATTAACATTTTTTTCGTTTTTGGAACGACCCGGCACTCGAGTCCAAATCACGTTTTCAAGGTCCGGACTGTTTCATAGGTCACGATGGTATTAGCAAGGGGACGTCCCTGGCTTTCTTTTAGATCTGAGACCGGTAAGGAAGACTAAGAAGAGTCGGTCTAACCGACCTCTTATCTCCCCCCGATCGCTGTGCAACCTGAGATTGCTTGTATTGTCCATTGTTTTCACAACTTGTCGAGACGTGGTGGACTGGTCTCTAGGTTGTCGCAGATATTCTGTCTCGCGGCTTCTTTGAGGCAACGTTGACGGCGCCATATGGCCGCTGTCGTCAGCGCGCCCCACTGCCCAAATCATCATCGAAGCAATGTTGGACAACTGCCCCTGATCCTGCCCCTGGTCTTGTGAAAGTCTGAGGTCCCTTGCCATTTCACGTTTTCTAAAGGTCTTTACATGTCATTCTCTGCTGCGGTGAGGCCAGTAGCCCTCCAGCTCCGCGTTTCCGATCAGTCTGCCTCTTCCGCCCACTTTGGACCCCTGGCGCTCCTCGGGCCCTCCGCCCGGCCACCATGACGAAGCCATCTAGCGTTGAGCGACGGTTTCAGGAATGGTCTGGAGTCCTCGAAAGTCTTCAGTCATCTGTCTGGTTCTTGAGTAAGGTTAATTCCCTGAGCTGGCAGCTTCGCTCCGCCCGGGGTCACCACGGCGTCTCAAAAGCCCTTCTGTTATCTCCGGCCCATGCTGCTACTGTCTTGACAGAACTGGCTTTTTGCCCCCTCATTTACATCTTGGCAGAGTCCAAATATACTTTGCACTTCCTGAAACGCTCCCTGGCCTCCGGCGACATCTGGACCACCTTTTGGCCACAGACGATGGTGCTTGTGATAAACCGTCCAGATAATGCTACAATTCACGGTAATGCACGGTAATCCACGGTAACCCACGGCAACCCACGGTAAGTTGCGGGCTGGACTCGTTTTCAATGTGATGCGGTATCCTCGCCCAGCACACAACTCAAGTCACCGCTGGCACTCGATGAACAATCTGAGCACAGGAACAGCTCAGGGATTCGTTGGTTCACAATGGCAAAAGGCGTTAGTGTCGTGACACATTCTAGCTAACCCCCCACTCCCGCGTGGGTCAGAGCACCCCACGTGGGTCAGAGCACCCCAGGTGGGTCGATGGGCTTCCACGCTCTTGGCAATCACTGGCTTTGCTAGTCTGATGGTGGCGATTGCATACACGAGCCAACCGACAATCTCGCAAGTGTCTGAAGGGCCCTGAAAAGCTTGGACATTCGACACGGGTCGCGGTCATTTCTTTCAGGATTGTATATAGGCATGCACTTTAGGTGCTGTTTTGTAATTGTTCTGCTTACAAGAGGGGTCAGATGGCATTCGCTCGTGAGTATGAACGTCACCGTAGCTGACGCGAGTGCCTTTTATACCTATCCAGTTGCGGCTCAGATGTCCCTCATTTTTCGACTAACATGGAGGGCAATATTTTCCATAACCGAATCAGTGTTACAGCCCAAGATATTTACTGTCCTGCAGACTATTCGGATTCGTTAAAGAAGCTTTGAGTTCGTGTACAAAGTGCATGGTGCATGTTCCTGACATCCAAATTGGCTTTTTTACGTCGAACTATCAAACCGGCATTTTAAAATTTGTTTTCCTCTTCAGATCCATGAACGGATATTTTCTGCTGTCCCGCAATTACGACACTCCAATATAAAAAGCAAGCATAAGCTTAAGCCCTTTGTGGAAAAGGGGTTTGCCTACATAACCTGTTCACAGTAAATTGTTATATTTTGCACGAGACTTTACAATACTAAAGACTATGTACAATACCACTAGACCTTTACACTTACAAAATTTTGACGAAGTTTGCATGAAGCGTTTTTGCGGAGCCGGCAGTCATAGAAGATGGCCTTGAAGAATGCGTTTTATGACTAGTAAGTCTGCAATTGTGGAGCGGTAGCTCATATTCGTCGAAACTAATTTTGGAGTACCAAAAGTACGTAATTGGTCGTTCTTTGTTTTTTGCCAGGGTGATTATTACATGTAATTCGTCGGGGATTGTTATAGATCTGTCAACTAAGTACTAAGTAGCACGCGATGTATGTACTATTAGTAATTCCCCGTTGCTTCTTCGGTGAAGCAGTTTTTATTTTGTGCGTAGGCGAATGCGTCCTGGTCGCTGGAGATTCAGCGGCATAAAATGCCTTCTAAGTCCCGTTTGGATCAGTCTTCGCCAAGCATAATCTATCGCATTGACTATCTGCGTGATCCTGACTATTGCACAATATTGTCCCAGGCTGCTAGCCAGAAAACTGTTGGCCAGAAAGCACTGGCTATCTTTGGCGTGGGTGCAATGTCATTTCTTGGCCACCCACGGTAAAGCGGTCCAATCGATTTCGGGAAATTGCGGCGCCTTAGACGGGGATCTAAGCGACGTGGCGGTGATCCACCCAACCCCTGCGCTGTCACTTGCCGTGAAACATGGCCGACGACAATGAGCGAACCAGCCGCTGTACCACACTGGGGTAACAAACTGTTGCAGAACTGGGGGATACCTATTCACGCATTCCCCAAATGGAGGCCAGTCTCGCCAGTTTCAGCATTACAAATGTCTCAGAATGCTGCTGTGCGGTGTTCCGCATAGAACTGCATGGTTCTTTCATTTAACTTGTTTAACATTTAACATTAAACTAGATGAGCCAGGTGGGCGGAGTAATATATTGCCACCTTGCAGAACCAAAGCTGGGTGTGTCGCATGCTATCGCAATGTGTTGTTACCCGTGTGTAGACGTGGTTTTGCCTTCGTTCTGGGGAACCCAAGGGCGTCGCTTTATATGCTTTGGGAGGGGGGGGGGGGCGGGGGCTCAGTCGGTTCTTAGAGCCCTATTCCAATGCATGGGTACGCAAGAAGTAAATACTGGGCCCAGGAGAAACAGTCAAATTTCCATGATCTGTTGGAACACTGGTTACCTGACCGCATTACTGTTTGTTTTATTTTCATTTGGTTCCATATAGCTCTGTAGGCAGGTTTGCTTTCTGCCAAATCCATCGTATGTTGGTCCAGTCTACAAATGTTGGCAGTTTTTTGCACGAGAAACTCCTGTATCGGAACAAAAAACTGAACCGCAAGACATGGCAGCTTTTAAAGGTGTAAAAGTGGGTGTGGGTGTGTGTGTGTGTGGGTGCGTGGGTGTGTGGGTATGTGGGTGTGTGGGTGTGTGGGTATGTGGGTGTGTGGGTGTGTGGGTGTGTGGTTGTGTGGGTGTGTGACAAAGATAATGGACGTGCAGCATTTCTAATATACGGATACCCGCATTGTCGTATACCTTTACCCTTCAATATACGAGGAGGTCCTAGTTAAGCGAATTATCAGGTTAGCATTGGTTACATAATCAAAATCCGGCGTTTCAACCTGTGCTCATGGTCATGAGTGAAATACGTAACTCCAAAATGCTGCCAAGATCTTTATTTTAAAGCTCAATATTTTAAAGTTAAATGTTTAAGGTTCTTTACTTTAAAGTTAAAGATTCTCATACAAGGTTGCATTCACACGACTGGAAATCAAAAGTTACACGCACTGCTCTCCGCGTTTGTGACGTGTGAGGACTGTATGCGTAATGGCCACGTGGAAGACATGTCTGGAGCCGT